GGTAGCTCGCTCGACACGGACAACGACGAAGGCCACACTCGTGACCCACCACCTGCCCAGGTCCCCGACGCCCTCCCCGCCAACGCCATTGTTGCCAATACCAAAGACATGCTTAAGCTCATGGTCGACACCTGGGAGCCCATCTTGGGCAGGTACCGCGCTCGCGCAGGCCATGATGCCGAAGCTATGCCGACGTGGGCAGATTTCTACGACGAGTACCGACAAGAGCTGCCTACGCCATCACCAGCAGCCCCTTTCCACCTCACCGACGACCAACTCATCCACTTCATTCGCACCCGTTCACCGCGCCGCGCGGGGGGACTCGACGGCTGGACAACTAAGGAGGCTAAGGAGTTACCCGACGACATCCTTCGCCTCTTCGCCAGCGTCTTACGTGCTATGCAACGCAATGGCACCATCCCAGAGCCACTCCTACACGTGCCAAACCCGTGCCTCCGAAAAGGCCGAGGGGAACTCCCGACGGACCAACGACTTCTCTCGGTTCTTTCCGTTTGGATGTACGCGTGGGAAGCGCCAGCCTACCGTAGCCTCACGGACTGGCGGAAAGGATGGACCCACGCCACGAGCTTCGGCGCTGTTCCCAAAGCCACCATTGGGGATGTCAGCACCTCTCTCGCCCTGCGCATCGAGCACGCCAGGGCTTTACTCCTCCCCTTAGCTGGAGCTGCCCTTGACCGACAGAAGTGCTTCGACTACCTCATCACGGACATCTGCCTTAACCTTGCGCTGCACGCGGGGTGCCCTCAAGACATCGTCACTGTCCGCCGAAATTTCTACAGACACCACAAACGCTACATCCGCATGAACGGAGCGTACTCTAAGGACTTGGCCAGGACTAACGGTCACCTCCAGGGAAGTTCGTGGTCCCTGGACGACATCAAGCTGCTCATGTGCGTGTGGACAAAGAGGCAGCATCGATACGTTCCTCGATCACTCAGCACTACCTTTGTTGACGACAGCAACTCCACTACCCACACCGCGTCTGAGCTGCAGAAATCTCTTGACGAAACCGCCAAGTTTGATCGATTCTCAGGTCAACGCATTCACCCTGGTAAAGTGGCAGGGTGGGCGCTCACCGACGAGCTTCACGCCGCCGTTACCCAGCTCACACTGGCGGAGCGCCCCCTACGTGTGGTCGATTCCTTCAAGCTCGTCGGGAGTTACATCAACGCAGAGGCAGCGCCGGCTCCAGCCGCGCTTAACCTCACGGCCACCGCAGACGCCCGTGTACGGAGGGCGACTATCCGCCTGCCGCGCATTGGCAAGCTCCCATCGCCGATGCTTATCAAGGCGCGGCACGCCCGTTCCCTGGCTGCCAGCGTCTGCACCACGGGCACCGACATTCAAGCACCATCAGGCACAGCCAAAACTGCCTACAACCACGCCCTCAAGGCGGCTATCCGCCCCAAGGGGAACAAGTGGGTCGAGTTCTGGACTCTCATGGCCGTGTGCGTCCCAGGACACGCCCTGGAGATCGACGCCATCACGCAGCGTGAAGCATTCCTGTGCCTGCGGCGACAGGTAAACCGCGACGTTACACTCTGCGGGCTCGCCAGAGACCTTCAACACCACGTCCAGACCCTGTTTGGTGGAGGACCCGTCGGACGACTCGTCCAGTCGCTCCAGCAGCTCCGATGGACCTGGCCCACATTTGGCATCATGTACGACGACTGGGGCTGCCAGATCAGCTGGCTGAATTTACCCCAAAACGCCTTCCTACACATGCTGCGGGCCTCGCAACGCAGGGCTTTTCTGCGGAGGATCAAGCCACGGCGACACGACCTTGGCTACCTAGCCTCTGTCAGACAGGGCCTCGACCTCTTCGCCAGCACGTGGCTCGCCCGAACTAAAGGAGCAGCCAAATGCACTGCCTGGCAGCTGGCGCTCCTCCTCAACTACCTGTCGGGCGGGGATCACACCCAACAGCGACGATCCCGATCAAACACGTCGGCAGACCCCAGCCCCATCTGCCGATACTGCGACGAGGAAGAGGAAACTCAGGAGCACACTGTCCGCGACTGCAAGTGCTGGGCCCGAGAAAGACTCCCTCTCACCACCCTCATCAGTGACGACCAGTGGGCCCGTCTTCCGCCGCACACAAGACACTGCGGGCTCTTTGACGAAGACCCAGCCCTCCTCGACCTGCAGGCCGACCTCGCGAGGGACCCGCTGCCACAGCCCATGCCGCGGCCCCCCCCTGAGGGAGATCCTGCGGCTTCAGCCCAGGACACCTACACCACCTACCTTGACCACGACACTGGTTGGACATGGGTCTACGCTGCCACGGACGGGCATGCACCAACCAAGCCATCCCATTGCTAGCAAGAGCGGGCTACGGCGTCTACTACGGCATCGACCACCGCATGAACTACAGTGCACGCGTTCACGGCCTAACGCAGAACGCCCAGGTTGCGGAGACCCTCGCCATTGTCCACCTTACGGCATGTGCCGAACGGCCCGTGCACGTTTTCGTGGACAACCAGGCGGTGGTCGATGGGTTCCAAAGCATCATCGACGGACATCCAGCGCCGCAGGGCACGCACGCGGAGCTCTGGGAAAAGATCCACCGATGTGTTATGGCCAAGCCCAACATGTTTCGCGTCGAAAAAATCGCCAGCCACCTGGGAGACATGGGCATCGACCTTGGGCTCATCGGGCCCATTGCGGAGGAGTTCAACCGTCAGGCCGACGCCCTTGCCACAATGGCGGCACGCACTCACAACCTTCCTGACGACATTGTCGAAGCTGCCAAAACACGACATCGCCAAGCGACCGTGCTCCATGGGGTCGCTGTCGCTATCTACGAGCGCAGACACCGCACTCTGCCGCTCCCACACCGCAGGGCTGGGTTTACAGCTGCGGAACTCAGCAAAATGGAACCAAACCCCCTGCTGTCGGACCAGGCACCACCCGCGGCTGGACCATTCATCCCGCAAGACCCGGATGAGCTCTGGGCCGAGGCCCAACGGGCGATGCTCGATGAACAGGAGGACGACCCGTTCGGCTTCGGTGGGGGATTGGACTTCTTGGACGACGGCCCAGCCAGCGCAAACCCTGCCCCGTCGGGCAACCTCTCGACGCCTACCGCGACTCCGACACCGAGAGCGACATCGCACCCACATGATGATGTCGCTCACCGCCAAGACGCCGACGATGACCTGGCTGATCCCCTCGGACTGAGTGGCAGCATAGACGACGCTCCGCCGACACCCCACGCTGCCGACGATGCCGCCCCATCGAGACGCCACCCGACTACGCGGCCGACATCCGAGCCCTCGCACGGCATCATCATTGGTCCTACCGTGCCACCCACTCCGTCCCCCCACCAGCGCCAGCCCGCGGGGGCGGCTCCAGCCCCCCCGCAGGGCACCGAGCCAGTCAGGCCGTCGCACACCGTCCACGCTTCCATTGTTGCTGGGCGCGAGGATGCAGCTCTTCCGACCTCACGGGGCGTGGCCCTAGCGGCTCCAGCCCTGGGGCCGCGTGTTACCCTCCAGTCGCCTATCAAGGGTGACGGCCGTCAGCACACGGAGTGCCGTACTGCGCTAGTCCACCACCTGGCTAGGCGCACTGATGACCTCGTCCCTCCCACGAGGCCCGCGGCCGCTGGCACTGAGCAGCCGCCCCTCACCGACCGCGAAACTGAGCTGTCCCAGGCTATGGCCGCTCTTCAGCAGAGGTGCGCTGCTCTCGCCGCTGACCTTGCCGCTGCTCAAGCCCGTCAAGGCCCTCTGCTCCAGCGCCTCCACCGCGCCGGGCGTGCCTTCGCCGAGCTGCTTACGCCCTCGCCCGATGGTGCTACGCCGCCACTCACCATCCAATATATGCTGTCATCGCTCCGCGGCGCTCCACCTGGTGTCCCGCGCTAATTTCCTCCTCTCTGCCTGCCCGTGTGTACGCGTGGCTCCGCGTCCACGGTGTCAGGGCGCGGGGGCGGGGGGTGCCCCGTCCCTGCGCGCCGCTTTGCGGCCAAGCGCCCAACTGGCGGTCTGCCAAGCCGCCTAGCCACGTGTCAGCACGTCGCCTTCCTTGTTGGGGCCTCTTTCTTCACGCGGTCTGACACGTGAGATCTTCACCGTCTGTCCGCCGTCTGTAGCGTCTGTCGCATTGCGCCGGGGGAGGGGGTTTTGTTGCCCGCCCTCGTATCTTAAGGCTGCACCGCCGCAAATAGTGATTGGCGAGTTGTCGCACCGCAGTGCGCCTCGCGGACGGACCCTGGTCCGCCTACTTGTCCGATCTCTCTCTCTCTCTCTCTCTCTCTCTCTCTCTCTCTCTCTCTCTCTCTCGCATGGCACGCGCCCCGAACATTTTGCCAGCGAGCGCCCTGCGCAGGCGAGCGCCCCTCCCCCCGAAATGGCGGCCGCGACGAGGCTCGCGAGGAAGCTCAGATGCACGTTCGCCTCCCCTCTTCGCATTCAGTCGTCGCTCGACCCTCCCACTGCGCCCCCCCCCCCCCCCTCCGCTCTGCCATCCACTTCTCCTCTCGGCCCTCCGTCGATCGCTATCATTGCCCACTATTCCTCCACGAGCTCGAGCCCCTGCCCCAGCCCTGGTCACCCAGCGCGTATATACAGCTGATCATTTTGTGGATGATCATGTCGGCGTCATCTCCTCCACGGGGCGGGGCTCTCGAGATCGATGCGGCATCGACCCCCCCATCGTGGGCTCAACAGTCACTCCTTCCTCCTGCTGCTGCTCCCCTCTCCCACTCCTTCCTGTGCTGTTGTTGCGAGCCTCCTCCTCCGCCCTCCTCGGGATCTACCTCGCCCCCCCGCCCCCTGCGTCTGTCGGCCGACTGGCGCTGCTATATAGTAGTGCCAGTCGGGCCCCCGCCATTGCGTCGCGCCCTCCTGGGGCCACCCGGGGGGCAGGAAAGGCAGGGGGGGGGGGTGAACAGGGGGTGGAGGAGGAGGAGGAAGAGGAGGAGGAGGAGTAAATGAGGGGAAGGGGAAGGATGATGATGAAAGAAATGTCCTGCATCACCTCGGCAGCTGCGAGTCGGCGCCCGCCAGCAGGACCAGCCGGTCGTTCTTGATCTTCGTCGCCGCGATCTTCTCGGCGACCTTCTAGCCGCAGAAGATCTCGAAGGACCGCTGGGGGGCCTCCGTGGATGCTGCCTTCGGGTTCTCGCACCCGTAGAGGTTGTACTTGTCCTTCGTGAAGTTGTCGGGCAGCTGCACGAGCTGCGCGAAGGCGCCCTGGCCCTGCTTGAGGTCGACCACCGTGATCTTCTCGGACTCCCTGCGCCTCAGCCTGAGTTTGAAGTCGGTGCCGTTCTTCGTGAACGGGTAGGCCGCTGGCCAGTCCCCCCTGACGGCGCCCGGGTCGAAGTCGCCAGGGCCAGCTCCGTGATCCTCGACCTCGGCCTCGTCGGCTTCCTCGGGGTCCTCCTCGAACTCCTCTTCCTCCTCGCCGCCCTCATCCTCATCCTGGTCGAACTCGTTGGAGTCCTCCTCGTGCGCCCCTTCGTCCTCGCGCGCTGCCTTCTCGGCCGCAGTCGGCCCAGCCTCAGCCTTAACCTTAGTATCCTTCGGCTTCGCCTTCTGCTTCGCCTTCTGCTTCGGCGTCGCCTTAGCCTCAGCAGCCTTCGCCTTCGCCTTCTTCTTCGGCGTCGTCTGCGCACTCGAGCCCTTGAGGGGCCAGGCAGGGGGCGCCCCGATCATCGGGGTGGTCGACGGGCTGCCGACGACATCAACGTCGCCTGATGAGCTGTCACCAGCAGGCGTCACTGACTTAGCATGCTTGTTCTTCCTGGTGCTGATCATGCTGCCCTTCCTCCTCTTGCGGTGCTTCGTCTTCTTCTTCCTCACCTCATCCTCCTCATCGACATCGATCGCGCCGAGCATCGACTTCGCGAAGGGGAGCGGCTGCGCGGAGCTCGAGGAGGGCATGCTGTCGGGACCAACCGAGCCAGAGGGGCGCTTGAACTTCTCGCCCTCTTCCTCCTGCCCCATCCCCCCGCGCTGCCAGAGCTGTCGCGCCCTGAATCGACCCGACCGATCGCTCGATGAATCGATCGACCGATCTCTGCGAATCGGTCACGTCGGTTTTCACAAGTCGGCTCACCCTGCAGACCGATGCTCGGGACACACGGTCCGCTAGGCGGGATCCCGCATGCGATCTCTCGTTCTCTCTCTCTCTCTCTCTCTCTCTCTCTCTCTCTCTCTCTCTCTCTCTCTCCCCCCCTCTGTCCCTCCCTCTCTGTCTCTCTCGGGGCATCTCGCTCCCTCCTCTCACTCTCGCTCTCTCTCTCTCTCTCTCTCTCTCTCTCTCTCTCTCTCTCTCTCTCTCTCGCTATCCCGTTTTCCCGCTATCGTTGCGGTGGTGATTACGCATGCGTATGCACACGGGTAAACCACACACCTACCTGCATCCATCCATTCATCCATCCACCCGTCCATGCATACATGCAGGCATCCATGTATACATGCACACATGCACGTTCAAGCCACGACTGGTCAGCACGCATCTCGAGGACGTGGACATGCTATACATTTAGACCTTGCACGATGGCAAACGCGGCGCGCATTTTTTTTTTTTGGGGGGGGGACGGCCCATAAATGCACGCCCCAATGTTGTCTGAACACCTTGTGCTTCCACGAGTGCGAAGTAGGCCCCGCCAGTCGCGCCACGAGTTCGTTTGGAGGAACCTGGACATACATACACGCATACATGCATGCATACATACATACCCACATACGCATACATAAATACAAGCAACCATACATCAAACCATCAGCCCATCCAAGTGATGACGATGACTAGAATCGTCAGCTGCAGGATCTAGCACAGTGGCAGTGCTATACAGCTATCGTGCATGCCGCCCGTGGGTGGAAGTTGTGCTTGGCCAGCGCAAGCACGAGAGCGCCCCCGAGAAACTACGCGCGAATCGAACTGTATGCATGCATGCACGCATGCATGTCTGTATGTATGTTTGTGTATATGTACGCAAAGAGGGACGCATGCGTGTAAGCATGCGTATTTGCCTGCATGTAAGCACATGTGTACGTATGAACGTACGTACGTGCGTATGTATGTATATATGTATGTATATATGTATGTATGCATGTTTGTATGTACGTATGCATGCATGTATGCATGCATGTGTATATGTATGTATGTATGTATGTTTGTCTGTCTGTCTGTCTGCAGGTATGTATGACTGTATGTATGTATGCATGCATGCATGAGTGTTTGTATGTATGTATGTATGCTTGTGTGTATGTTTGTATGTGTGTATGTGTATATGTATGTATGCATGCATGCGATCATGTATGTTTGTGTGTATATATGTACGCATGTGTGTGTGAATGTATAGGTTATGTGTGTATGTGTCTGTGGGTGTGCATGCATGTATACATGCATGTATGTATGGCGGTATGCGTGTATGTATGCGCGTATGGCCGTATGCAATGAAACACGGGTGTCTATATGCATGTATGCATGTATGTATGGCTGCGTGCATGGATTCACGCATGCGTGCATGCACGGATGGGTGGATGGACGGATGGATGAATCTCATCATCGGCGCCAGCGCCGACCTCTCCCCACTCGCTGCGCCCCCTCCCCAGTCCATGAACGTTGCCGCGAGGCTCTCGGACAGCCTCTGGTCCCAGTACTGATGCAGCGCGCCGTCGGACTCCGACTCCGAATCAGCATCGCCACCATCGTCATCAGCACGAATTGGCTCCTTCGCCCAGGTCGGTGGCGGACGGGCACGTCCCGACATTAGATCCCACGACACTGCTATATCCTCATCCATTCGCTTCCTCCACTTCTTCCCCGCTCGAGGCTGCGAGCCCCCCCGAAGACTGGCCCCCCAATCTAATCATCTTTACCGTTCCCGCTGTCACTGATCGGACCAGGGTCCACGCGCTGAACATTCCTGACCCTGACCACGCTGCAGGTCCAGCTCTTTTGCCATCCTCTCTACTCTCAATCCTCTCCCGCCCCCCCCTTCTCCCTTCTCTCGCCCCCCTATCGGGGTCCTACCTTCGCATGCGTGTCCCCTCGTCCTTCCCCACTCAACGTACGCCCTCGCCCACCTCCTCCCCCTCTGCATCCCCCTCCTGCACCGTTCCTTAGCATCCGCGGCGGCATCCCCCCGCCCCGCCGCCTGCCTCATCAACCTTCACCCCGACCTGCCCCATCACGAGCAAAATCAAAAACAGAGGCGCGCAGGCTGAAATCCCGAGCGACACTCTCGAGCTTCTTGGTGCGCAACTGCCGGTGCCTGCGCATGTCTCCGATGGCCTTCGCGTCGAGGAACCTGGCTCACGGGTCGCGGGGGGCCGGCGGCGGTGACGGGAAGAAAAACGAACCGAGCTCGGGGTTCCTGGGGGCTGAGGGCTCAAGGGATGGAGGGAGTCGCTCGAACGTTCGAGCGACTCCCTCCATCCCTTCATTACAACGGGGAGGGATGATGAGGTGAGCTCAGGTACCTGAGCTCACCTCATCATCGCTCTCCGTCATCTGTCCCCTCGTCTGCTCTCCATGCCCCCCCCCCCCTCCCCCCCTGCCGCCTGAACATCGGTTTCGGCATGGAACCTGGTGCCCTCGAGCACCTGCTTGGCCGTCTTCTTGTGGTGGATATCCTCCCAGGCGGTCTCGACCGCCTCGCTGCAGGCGGCGCCCCACGCCGCCTGCGGGCATGTCTCCCGGATCCCACCCCCCCCCCTCCCTCGCTCTCTCATATCTCACTCACTCACGTCACACACTCCACTTTCTCTCTCTCTCTCTCTCTCTCTCTCTCTCTCTCTCTCCCTCTCTGTCCGAGCGAAGCTTAAACGGCTCCGATCCCGATGGCGCCGTGACCTGGCACTTATCTGGTCCGTTCCCTGGTCGCTGGTGTTTTCTTGTTGGGGTTCTCGCTCTCGCTCTCTGTGTCTCTCACTCTCTCTCTCTCTCTCTCTCTCTCTCTCTCTCTCTCTCTCTCTCTCGCTCAGTCTCGGCTCGAGAGTGCCCTGCACTCAGACCGCAGCCGCGACGCGAAGCGCCCCGCCTCGGAGTCAGACTCCCAGGCCTCGCGAGACCGGAGGGGTCCCAGCAGGACCCTACTGATTCGCGTCACCTCTCTCCCCACCAGAGCGCCCGCCGCAATGGCCCCCGGTAAGCCGGAGCGCCGTCGCTCTTCCAAGCAGCCGCCGAGCTCACGTCCTGCTGCCGAAGGGTCTCTCCTCCAACGCAAGCAGGACTACATCGCAGCTTTCAAGCAAGCGGGGTCCGACCGCCCCACGGCCGCATACAATGGGCTTGCCGAGCTGAACGCGGACGAGCTTCAGGCCACGTACGACATGCACAAGACCAACACAAAGAAGTCGGCAGTGCCTTGATCCGCATGTGTGCCGCCAACCAGATCAGCTACACGCTGGATCACCACCAGCGCAGCAAGCCTAAGCGCATTGGTGGTGACACATCACACCCACCAGCTGCGTCCGCACGTCTTCAGGCTGCGGACGCCCAATTCATTGCCTTGGACCCGGCCTTCTGGAAGGTCCCAGTCCTCGCCGAACCCACATCACTTGACGACGGCAAGACGTACAAGCCCAGTATCAGCCTCCACGACTACGAGAGCGGAGAACGGCTGCTGCAACACCACCTCGTGCAGGGTAAGCGTACCACGGGTCAGCTTGCGATTGCTGTCATGGGCCCAAAAAACGATAACTACGTCGGTACCGAGCTCGCCGTCCCCGTGCTGAAGCGTCACCCCAAGGCGCCCAAAGTGGTCCACACGCACGTCCCCGTGACCGTGTACCAGCTGGGCACCAAGGAAGTCGCCTGCACGGAAAAAGTAGCCGTCGCCACCATCGACCCTGCCGACCACGTATGCTGGATTCGGGCGACCATACATGAAACCGAGGCCATCGCCGCAGTCCCCTCCATGCATCAGGCCTTCGAGGACCAGTTCTCGGGAGGTGCCCCCGTGAACGGTGGCCCACGCGCCAAGGGTCCCTTTCGAGGGGACTCTGCCCCACAGGACAAGGCGCGCCAAAACCAAAAGCACAGGGAGTCCAAGAAAGACGCTCGCCGCCAGGAGCTCGATAGTCAGCTCCAGGACACCTTCAAGGCCCTCTTCCACGGCAACTTTAAAGCCGTCACCATCCTCGAACCCTGCAAAAGCCTAGGCAGGTATGGATCGGGCGTCGGAAAGAGGTCCCTGGCTGCCACCTTCGGCGTCAGTCTTCAAGCGGTTGACAAGGTCTTGGCGGGTTCAGGGCAACTCGGCGCCACCTACGACCTCAACAACGTAGGTGCAGACGAGCCCACTGCAGACAAGTACCAGACCGTGTGGTTCCCTGAGGACCAGCCCATCACGATGGCAGATGCGTTCCAGAAGTCGGTGGACTTCAAGGCCCTAGGAGTCGTCAGGCACGGCAAGTCAGGCTTATTGGGGATCCGTGTTGCTCGAGGGTCAGACGCCGCCAAGGCTGCTGCCGTCAGCATCCGTGGC